GTGCAATGATATATTCAAATGCTGGCTTATACTATATGTGACTTGAGTGCAATGATATAAATGATATATTCAAATGCTGGTTTATACTATATGTGACTTGAGTGCAATGATATATTCAAATGCTGGCTTATACTATATGTGACTTGAGTGCAATGATATCTTCAAATGCTGGCTTATACTATATGTGACTTGAGTGCAATAATATATTCAAATGCTGGCTTATACTATATGTGACCTGAGTGCAATGATATAAATGATATATTCAAATGCTGGCTTATACTATTTGTGACTTGAGTGCAATGATAGATTCAGATGCTGATTTATCATTTATGTGACGTGAGTGCAACAATAGATTCAAATGCTGGCTTATACTATATGTGACTTGAGTGCAATGATATATTCAAATGCTGGCTTATACTATATGTGATTTGAGTGCAATGATATATTCAAATGCTGGCTTATACTATATGTAACTTGAGTGCAATGATATATTCAAATGCTGGCTTATACTATATGTGACTTGAGTGCAATGATATATTCAAATGCTGGTTTATACTATATGTGACATGAGTGCAATGATATAAATGATATATTCAAATGCTGGCTTATACTATATGTGACTTGAGTGCAATGATATATTCAAATGCTGGCTTATACTATATGTGACTTGAGTGCAATGATATATTCAAATGCTGGCTTATACTATATTTGACTTGAGTGCAATGATATATTCAAATGCTGGCTTATACTATATGTGACTTGAGTGCAATGATATATTCAAATGCTGGCTTATACTATATGTGACTTGAGTGCAATGATATATTCAAATGCTGGCTTATACTATATGTGACTTGAGTGCAATGATATATTCAAATGCTGGCTTATACTATATGTGACCTGAGTGCAATGATATAAATGATATATTCAAATGCTGGCTTATACTATTTGTGACTTGAGTGCAATGATAGATTCAGATGCTGATTTATCCTTTATGTGACGTGAGTGCAACAATAGATTCAAATGCTGGCTTATACTATATGTGACTTGAGTGCAATGATATATTCAAATGCTGGCTTATACTATATGTGACTTGAGTGCAATGATATATTCAAATGCTGGCTTATACTATATGTAACTTGAGTGCAATGATATATTCAAATGCTGGCTTATACTATATGTGACTTGAGTGCAATGATATATTCAAATGCTGGTTTATACTACATGTGACTTGAGTGCAATGATATAAATGATATATTCAAATGCTGGCTTATACTATATGTGATTTGAGTGCAATGGTATATTCAAATGCTGGCTTATACTATATGTGACTTGAGTGCAATGATATATTCAAATGCTGGCTTATACTATATGTGACTTGAGTGCAATGATATATTCAAATGCTGGCTTATACTATATGTGACTTGAGTGCAATGATATATTCAAATGCTGGCTTATACTATATGTGACTTGAGTGCAATGATATATTCAAAAGCTTGCTTATACTATATGTGACTTGAGTGCAATGATATATTCAAATGCTGGCTTATACTATATGTGACTTGAGTGCAATGATATAAATGATATATTCAAATGCTGGTTTATACTATATGTGACTTGAGTGCAATAATAGATTCAGATGCATGTTTATACCCTATATGACTTGTTTATGTCGTAAACGGTATATTTTTAAAATATATTTTCCTTGTCACATTCGTTATCCCACCAGCTTGTGTAGTTGTCACATAAGGTGATATTGTATCTAATCTAAAAATTCAAATCCTTATCCATAGATAGTATAACTAATGTATAAAAAAAATATCATATGAGTCACATGAAAAATAACAAATTAAAAAAGACAATGATCATGTGATTTTATTGCATGAAGCATACAATAACAATGACTCAAACCTTTCAGTTCAGAAAAAAAAACAACTATTGAATACTGGATATAAAAAAGAGGGTACACAAACGAAGTGTTAGTTATGATACATTGCGCACAGATGTACACTATCCCCACACACTCACACACATACACACTACACTCACTTGTACATCATGGCGACCTGCACATGTCATTGGCTTTGAGCCTTTGAGCGTATCATACGTAGGTAGTTCATGGATGTGCGTAGGCATTGAATGAATGTGTGTGGATTTGCATTAATTATCCTTGGCTGACTATGGGAAGATTTCCTAGTTTTTCATGAATACGCAAAACCTACTTAGCCAATCACTGCTATTTTGACCCAACGTGACCTTTCAGATTGTTTAAATGAGCCAATCAAAGTTTCTCTTTTAAACTCGATCAGTGATACGAGCACTTCCAATTTTGTATTGGAAATTGTTACATTGTTTAGCTGATGACGTCGTTTTGTTAATGCGAACTCGTGTAGAACGAATAAATCTCCGTACAGGCAGGTGATAAAGGAGCGTAGCGGACTATGGCCATTCCCACCACATAACTTTAAATACTATTATGTAATACTTTTTCTAGAAAAAAAGCAGGAAACATATGGGTAATGGAGTTTAGAATGCTATAAATTCGTGCGTTTTTCTCGCAAAATAAAATCTTCGCAATTTAATTCTATGTTATTTCAAGCTGAAAACAGCCGTATGGACAAATGGCGAATCGATCACTTCGTAGAATGAACGCAAAGCGTCTTGAATATCCAAGGTAACGTCGATGGTAAAAGTATCGATACATTTGGTAACGAATTGGCAGATAAGAATGTGCATGATGGAAGACTGCTTTCTAAAGACATTTTAATAGTTGAAATCTAAAAATGGACAGGAAACTATTCATGCATTACCGTAGTATATTATTAAACCATTCTTCGCCATAAATATCAACAATGTTTGGGTTTTCATTGTTATATCTGATAGCATTATAAAGTAACACGTTTTCTTCTCGCATGCAGTCGTCCATAAAGCCAGATATTGTATCAACATTTATGAAGGAAGTCCTTTTAAAGTTGTGTAATGCTTGCTAGGTGGTAAGAAAACTCCATTAATTGCAAATCACTCTAGAAAAAGTAGTTATCAGGAGTACAATTAGTTCTCAGAAAATCCACAAAGCTTTGTGTAAAATAATTCTTTTAATGGATTTTATTTTCAACTGTAAAAGGCATGCTGATTTGTAATACCTCTGATCTTGATATTTTATGTTGATGGTGCTGACTGTTAAAAGGTAGAACGCAGGCACCGTGGAACTACTTTTTGTTTTACAAGGTTCCAGTGTGTGAGGAGTTCGAGCCTATTACTAATCACAAATTTAAAGAAAAAGGGGGCTGTAGTATATATATATATATATATATATATATATATATATATATATATATATATATATATATATATATATATATATATATATATATATATAGATATACATATACATATAGATATAGAGATATATAGATATATATATATATATATATATATATATATATATATATATATATATATATTCCAGTCATATCTCTACGGTGTCTGCAGTGTGGCAGATTATAGTGATGTCTAGCACTATGTCATCATGCCACAGACATGCAACATCATGCCCTACCCAGTCACATTATCCTGACACAAGGCCGTCCAGTCCTAACACTAACATCTTAATGCTAAGTCTTTTATATGACTCAAGAGGGTTTCGAACCCGCAACCTCCCTCATCCAAGGCAGATGCTTTATGCACTTAGGTAACGGAGCGGTCTTCTAATCAATGTCTTATGTGAGTAAAATATAGACGTTCAAGAGAACGTGAAGGAAGAGTAAATTGAAAACCGCGTAGAGCATTCATGTCATTCCAAGCCTTCTCAAGCAATAGTATAGTTTACATTAGTCCAACTACAGAAATACATTCTAAAATGTTAATCACAGGTGTTTATATGAAGCAACTTTACAAAGATGAATGTTATTCATAAGAAGAGATAGTCTATAATTAATCTAACGTCGGTATGAAATTATCCACAATGTTATTATTATATACTAGAAAGAAAAAGGGTATATTATACGTTTTTGAGGACCAAATATGCTTCCAGGCTAAAGTTTGTCCGTTTATGACCATGCATTATTACCTTTGGTAAAATAATCTTAAAATGACCATGTGTTGTTACTTATGTAAAAAAAATAGACTTAAAATCAATCTCAGATCAATTTTACACGTTCTATACAAAACAATGAGAAAAGAGTTCCCACCGCCACACGTGAGTACAGGCCTTTCTTTTGTCAACAGGAAGATACCTAAATTTCTTTTTTTTTGTCAAGGGCATTGCAAAATATATTATAAAGATGTTTAAGTAGACGCACAGTAGATTTTTTGTTCTTGTTTTCGGGCTTAACGTCATTTATCAGCATGCAATAGACTATACATGGCAGCCAGCATTAATGGCGGAGGAAGAAACCGGGAAATTCACGGAAAGAACCACCGAACCACGAGAAGCTATTGATAAGTTTTCTCACATATCCACATTCGCCGAATCTTAGACTCGAACTCACGTAGACAGAGGTGAGATGGCAGTGATTCGTAACAGTGAGCGCTTTAGACCACTTGGCCACTCGGAGCCCCTAGATGCACAGTAGAAACTTCAGGTATGGAGACAGACTGTTGTTGTTGTTGTTGTTGTTGTTTCGTTGTTGTTGTTTTGGGGCTTAACGCCATTTTTTTAGCACACGATAGGCTATATATGGCGGCAAGTATTAATGGTGGAGGAAGAAATCGGGAAATCCGCGGAGAGAACCATCGACCCACGAGAAGCTACTGGCAAGCTTTTTCACATATCCACATTCGCCGAATCTTAGACTCGAACTCACGCAGACAGAGGTGAGATGGCAGTGATCTGTAACGGAGAGCGCTTTAGACTACTCGGCCACTCGGGGCCCCGGAGACAGACTGAAACTTGGTTTAAGAATTCAGTACAATTCAAGAAGTTAAAAAATAGTTCAAGCAATACTCGTTCCAGTTTTAACACAATAATTATGAAACCTTTTCATGTTTCACAAACCGCTCCAGTGGCCCTAGTGGTTAAAGCGCCCACCATGGATGCGGGAGATCGCGGGTTCGAACCCCGGCCAAGTCATACCAAAGATTTGTGAAAATGGTACTAATAGCTGCCTCGCTTGGCGCCTAGCATTAAAAGGTTAGTGTTAAGATTGGTCAGCCTGTTAAAGCTACGTTAAAAATCACACACCCACACTCATATCTCACAGTTGCTGCTCGTTTGATGTACTAAAACAATATTAGGTATTGTCCATCTGTAGTATACATTCAGGCTCGAAGTTATATATTTTTTGTTACACTCAAGTATTTAATGAAGAAGGCATTCCTTTCGTCGCGTATGGACGAGAGGGTGATGGTTGGGAGGGGGTTTACTCCCTCCTGCTAGTGGAATTCTAGAGGGAGATCTCCCAGAGACAATATTTTGAAATAAACCAATTGAAATAGTGTCTCTTGGAGCGTTGAAATGCATGTGTTTTCTTGTCAACAATTTCATAAGCAGCTGCATATCTGCTTGTAGGAAACAACGTGACATGGCAATGATTTTAAACTTGGAGAACGGCTAAGGCAGATCACACGTTTCCATATTCAATACTGTCAGTGCAAAGCCTAACGATTTTCTTGTAACACAGCACATCCATCAAGTCTTCACTTGAAACAGTAACTCGGCTCAAAGAACGGGCATTATCATCAAGCCTCAAGGCGAATGGACTCCATCATGATCGTCAAGGCGGATGGACCCCATCATGATCGAGCAATGCTTGTTGAACGAAGTGGGAGACTGTGGTTTTGCACGTTTGTATATCCATTTTGATTGATGAATATAGACGAGAACTTTCATTGTGCATCCAGACTGTCTCGAACATTTTTAAATGCAGATTCTCTTATAAACAAAAATAATGCAATACAATCAATGTCAGAAAAGATAAGATTTAAATTTTAAAACATTGAACGAAATTTGTACTCGTTACCTTCAGTTAAATTCCCCACGACGCTTTTAGTTCGTAAAGTTAGGTGCCGTTAGGGCAAGGCTGGCACAGGTCACCAATATGGAAGAGTCATGAATAAAGGTGATACTTACACCAGCAGGAAAACTGTGGGAACTGATATACTTACAAAATCAATCAATCATGATGGCCATTAATCGTTTAAATGAGGTTCGTGAATTAGTGCCGCCATGCTGAAATGTCTCGTTTATTTTGCGTTTGTTGTCTTTTTCTTTTTTGGGGGTGGGTGGGTGGTGTACTCTTTTTGTTTCCCAATTGATCTCCGTTAAGCCGCCAAGCACAAAAATGTAACTGATGTGACTTGGGCTAATCCTATATACATGATGTAGTATATTTACCGCAATGCTGTACGTGATCACGTGAGCACAATCTCCCGTTTACGGTAGTCGATAATTTTTTCAGACATATTGAAAATGATGTTCCCTGACATTAAAATCGCACAAAGGAAAGGTTCTCTTACAAACGACCAAAACTACTTACGCAATGACCCAAGCTTTCGGGTTTAAAACTGGGATAAGAAGTTGAAGATAGTGAAAATTCTCCCTCAAAACTCCAGACCAAATGTTGCAACCAGATTTGTTCTGAGACTTTTCGGTTCTGCCGCATATATGTCTGCAAGTTTCATATCGCACAATAATAAATAGTCATATAGCCATAGTCAAGGTCATTTCTTTTAACAATCATAAGATACCATGCACTGGAATGTTAGTCCAAGCTAGACAGAAACATATTTCTCCACTGGCTTAAATATTGTACAGTTTGACAGTAACAAGAAAAGAAAAAGAAAAGCCAGTGAAACATTTCGCGGAAAATTATTATTTATATATTTATACTTTTCAATAACTAAAGTAAATGTGATAAAGATAAGGATGATATATTGACTAGTCTTCTTTTTATGAGGTTTGAATGCAAACTGACTCATTGTTCAAATGTCTGAATCGATAATCAGGTCGAGTGCCTCGTTTAATAAATAAGAAGTTATAAGTTCTTTACATATATAAATTCTTATTGTCCATATTCTATATAATTGTCCTTTCCAATAGGTATTTTTATGTAGTTACCAAGATATAAGTCTAGTGTGTAATTAAACCAAATGTATACATTGACCTTAGCTTGAGTGTTCCTTTACAGAAACCTACAGCTCCATGACCACAGTGCTTGTATAGTGTTGCTACAACAAAGCAGCTCCTACATTCCAACTAATGTAATTTTTGCCTGATAACATCATATGATTACCAAATGAAACCTGTAGAGGTTTTACAGATTTATAAAATTATTGGACTACGGTTGGTCTTTAGTCATTTATTTCACGTGAATAATATTACGTTTTCGGTCAAACTATTAACTGTTTGCACACAGTCGATTTCTTTGACATAATAGCCACATAATTTGTCCTGAGAACGACTTCTACGTAATTAATCTTTATTCTGTGAAATTATCTAATCTAATCGCCATAGAAAAACAAACAAACAAACAAACAAGCTAACAAACAACATATCAATGATTATTCGTACATTAAACATACAGATCCTACAATATACTACTGATATCTTTTGTCACAAAAAGCACCACGCCGGTGGCCTGAGTGGCTAGAGTGTCCACCTCGGATGCGGGAGCTCGCGGGTTCGAATCCCTGCCGAGTAATACCAAAGACTTATAAAAATGGCAGTGAAAGCTGCCTGGCTCGGCGCTCAGCATTAAGAGGTTAGTGTTAGGACTGGACGTCCTGGTGTCAGGATAAAGTGACTGGGTGTGACATCATTCTACATGTTTACAGCATGATTCTCCAGTGCTATATATCACCATAAACTGTCACACCGCAAACATCATAGTGATATGATTGAAATTTTTTTAAAGCAACTTTTAAAATCCAACACACACACACATACACACACACACACATTGTCACAAAAAGCAACTCGTACACTCCAACGAATGCAATTGTTAACTGACAACTTGTCTTATCCACATTTATAATTTTGTTGAAGTAAGCTTTGGCGAAATCCATTTTACCTGGAGGCTATGGCTTATTTTCGGATATCGAGTGACTTTCCATCTATTTTAAGAAGTATGTTAATGATTTTTAAAACCCTTTGTAAACTCAGGTGCGGTTGTTGTGTTTTTAGTTTTTCTACTACACATCTGCACTTTGAATGTTATTTCTTACCGAGGGAGGTACAATTGTTTTGTCCAAAGATACAACTTGGTAATCTCATGATGGAAATAACCCCACACCCATCCCATTACGAATCCATCTTCATAACCACTGACCACGACGGCTCTTCTTAAAGAGATGGGGCTGGTGAGCATGCAGACCACTTTTCCGAGGAGGTAAAATCATTGAACACCCCACAAAAAAATCCCGAGATGACCCTTGTTTAAAAAAAGCCAGCAAAGGTTACGCGCAACCAAATAAACTTTGCCCAGTTAAGCCATCTTCGCGCTATCATGTACGTGGCAATTTAATGATTCACGTAATATACCTCGTATGAATCAGATGAGTTTATGAAATACAATTACGATTGTATATGGATGAGTCTAAATTAAAGTGACCAAGATTATTATTATTATTATTATTATTATTATTATTATTATTATTATTATTATTATTATTATTATTATTATTATTATTATTAATGATAATAATAATAATAACTACTTAATAATAATAATAACTACTTAATACTACTACTACTACTACTAATAACAATAATAATAATTAATAATAATAATAATAATAATAATAATAATAATAATAATAATAATAATAATAATAATAATAATAATAATAACAACAACTTTATTCTAGGAGGGTGACTCAATTTATGACAAATGATAATCTAATCAACTTTGAGGCCTTCTACTATATACATATAAAATATAAGCTATTAATATTAACATGTTCACACAAACGCACACAAATTTGCGACTAGAATTTAATAATATTTAAACAGTCTCGTAGTTATCAATATTATCATTTAAATAATAACTACCAAAGTGACACCGCTGTGATGATTATTCATTTATTTGAAAAGTTATCAATGAGTTATCACCGTAAAAATGATTTTAAAAAAAAACGAGAGTTAACCCCGTAGGACACAGAAGCGATTCTTGCATGTCCGAGCAAAGAAACAATAGAAGAGACCCAAATGCGTATTTGGTACTGCAAGACTTTGAAGAAATGGTCTGACATGCCTTGGCGGGAAATTTCATCTATGCGTTTACCTCAAAACAATATCAAAGAGCAGCGGCTTGCAGAGAAACTAGTGCAGAAACAGCAGCTGCAGCCACAACATCGTATGATAAAAGAACAAAACCAAAGAGAACTAGAGAAGCAACAAATTTGACGACAGCGGGCATGAGGAAAAATTCAAGCAAAACTAGTTTATAGAAATAAACTACAAGGAAAAAAGAACTTGCACAACGGCTGCAGCAATTAAAACAACAGTTGCTACAACAATAAGAACACCAGTTACTGGAGCAATCTGAGCAACAGTAACTGCAGCAACACGAATTTAAACCACTGCTTGAATTGAACCTAGAGCTTAGAAGAGGAATAAAGTGCTGCAACTGCCAGAGTTCGATGCACTTACCGATATACATTTTGTCATGGCGGAATGTCGTGAAAATCAAATACATAAAAAGAAGAAAAAATATGTATGTCCCATATCCCCTCCGAATATATTATTATTTGTTGTTATAAACGTCCGAATGCGTATTTTATCCCAGGGATGGCCACAGTGCCGTTTTAAGGCCTTGGCACGCGAGACACGTGCCTAGGGCCCCGCGGAGGCCAGAAAACAAAATATCGGTGTCGGTTGTGGTAGTAGTGTAGTGTTTGTGACTAGGGCCCCCAAACTTTTTAAAACAGCTCTGGATATCCAAAATGATTCCAACTGACACTAGATGGTTGGTGTTGACCATGAGATTTTTCATGGTGCGTAAGTGCGATTAGACGATTGTACTTAAACATAATTCGAACGCGGTAAGTATCTCGGGTTGTTCGGGAGCAACGTTACAACGACAGTAACTCCAATGAAGACTGCTAACGCATCGGAGAAGGCACTTGCAGCAT